CAGAGGAGCCTGGCCTAAGAGGAGCCGACGTCTCCCTCAGAGGAGCCAACGTCTCCTTCAGAGGAGCCTGGCCTAAGAGGAGCCGACGTCTCCTTCAGAGGAGCCTGGTCTAAGAGGAGCCGACGTCTCCTTCAGAGGAGCCTGGCCTAAGAAGAGCCGACGTCTCCTTCGGGGCGAGCCTCGGCCCTGACGTTCAGAAGACATTTTCTGATCTGTTTCCAGCCTCAGCACAACGAATGTATAAACGAGCTGCGGAGTGCCGAGACAGAAGAAACGAGACTTTACAGGTTTTCTTCAGTCACATAAAACAACCTCGCTTTATTTTCTACTAAATCAGCAGCTTTCAAACTTTCAAGCTGTTCTGGTGAAATTTTCTTTCTGTTTTTGAACAGAGCCATTCTCGGGGGCAAATGATAATAAATGAAAAGCAGAATGTAAAACCCTCTGAGATTCTCCTTCTGATGTTTCTTGTTTTTGCTTTTCTTTGTATTTTGTTGAGTTTTAGAGGAGAGCTGAAGAAAGGCGCCAGCTCCCCCTGACACACAAAACGGGGTAAAGAAAATGAATAAATGACCTTTAGTGTAACAGTTGATGGATAAAAACAAGAACTATATGGTTCAGTAATCATCCAGGTACATTAATCTCACAAAAGTTAAATCATGTCATCTGGACAGATTCTTTTTGGAAGAAACAGCCTGCCACCAAGGTCTGTCTAATGAATAGCACCTCGTTGATGTGGTTCAGACCAGTCTGCTGTGGAGTTCTCTGAAACTGGCTGTACACACGTGTCCAAAACAATCCATCAGTGCACAACAGTCACGTTATAAGCAAAATGGCCACTTCCTACCATTATGATTGATTTTTTGGACAGATGTGTACAACCAGTTTCTGTGAACTCCACAGCAGACTGGTTTGAACCACATCAACGAGGTGCTAATCATAAGGCAGAGCTTGGTGGCAGGTCTCAGACTGATGAAGTCTTTACATCTGTGTTTAAAGCAGATCTCTGTACATGAGGCTCGATTCATTCAACCTTTACTTCTACAGGTTAGTCCCACTGAGTCTCAGGGACTCATTTACAAGAGAGACCAGATTTTAACAGAGTGATGACGACAGTGGACAATCGTAAAGGATGCGTACAAACTGAGAAGAACAAGTGAAAGAAAATGGTATTTAAAAATGAAACAAACAAAAAAAGAAAAACATCTAGATTATAAGGAGGTGTAGAAAACTAAAAACAGGAACACGTCTGTGTTGGGTTTTTTTTCCAGGAACTTATCAGATGTTTGAAGCCACTTAGAGAGGTCAAAGGTCGAGAGTTTCCGATCTTTTTACAAGATGTTCCAGGAAACAGGAGCGGAGGAGGAGAAGGTCCTTTTGTCTAGTTCAGTCCTCATTGAGGGAACACTGCAGGTAATAATGTCCTGAGAGCGCACGCTGTAGCTGCACTCACACAGAGACATGTAGGAGGAGATGTATGAAGGCAACAGACCAGGAAGTGATTTAAAGATGAAAATGTACCAGTGAGAGTCTGTGTGAAGTTACTGGTGACCAGTTAACCAGTGAATACTGGGTGCAGTGGTGGGTACGGTAGTTACAGTGAGACTAACCTGTATAAATAAAAGTTGGATGAATGTCCAGATGACATGATCGAACTGTTTTGTGAACTGTACTGGCAGAAAAGGGTGATGCTGCATACAACACGTGTCCAAAGGCTCAAACTGACTCTGAGGTAAAGGGACAGTTCATATATTTTATAATGGGCTCTTTAGAAAGTTTAGAAGAATTGATTTAACTTTCTAAAGAGCTGTTTGAGTTTGGGGAAATTGTTTAACTCTGACAGGATCGATGAGCTAATGGCTAGTCCAAACGTGGCCAAGACAAAGTGGACTGCTGCCACTGCAAAACAGCTCCAGTGAGAAAAGTTTTGCAGACGTTCAAGTGAACTCTTTTATAAACTTTACATGGCAGTCCATTTCACACTCTTATCATTGTCTGCCACAGAAAGTGAAGCAGTGGTAAATGTTTTTCTTCTGTTTCTGTGTGTACGTGTTCATTTGATGTTCCGCACCAGCATCGCATAAAAATGCATCATCACATGAACATGTTCCGGTCATTTAGACAAACGCTGCAGCTCCGTCTCTTCTCATCTTCTCTGGCATGAAAGGCGGCGGGTGATATGCATTCCTTCAAGGAATGCTTGGCCTTTGTTGAAACGTTTTATGGTAATTCAATCTATGTTTGTCTGACTAGCCTTTAGCTTGTCAGTTCAAGCAGACTTCATTTCCATTTCTCCAAACTGAAGCTGTTCAAAAACAAAACCATTATTTTTATTGAGCTATAATAAAAACGTGTGCAGAACCTGAACCACCTCTTCCATCAGAGGCAGCAGCCAAAATGAGACCAGATCCATAACCAAACTGAAAACAATTCTGTAATAAGCGTGTTTTTTAATGTATTTTATCTTCAGTCGTCACAGTTCAACAGTTTCATAACTTGTCAGCAGCTTTTATTTATTGTCTTAAAGTTTTATGTTGTTCAGAATAAACATCACAGCTGTTTGTACACCTCTGGTTGCATTTCTGTTTTTAAGAGTCCCACTTTTGTCATTTTGTGTTTTTCACTGAAACTCAGGAGATGCTGAAGTGCTGTTCTGTAGACGTATGCAGTCAGCGTCTTACCTGCTGTAGAAAGGTGTTGTCAGGCAGAGATTCTGAGGAGAAATAAACTAAAAGGCTTCAGCAAGGCCAAGACCAACTTAAAACAACTTCATAGAACTGTTTTAAATCCCTTTACAGCACGATCGCTCCTCTGTTAGAGGGATTTGATACCCGGCTGTTCAGTCTGGTGCCAGCAATGATCCATGTGAAGCACATCTCACTAATAGAACATACTGACAGCAATGGGGCAGAACTGTCTGATAAAAAATTGGTTTTGATTAAAGTTGCTGTAGATTTTTCATATATGCACTTATGCCATTAGTTGAACTCTAAACTACCTGTACCTGATAAAGTAAAGTAATAATGACATTTCTACTGCAGGTAAGATACTGACTGCTGACAACTCCTCTGAACTGTTTCCCCAGATTATGCAGTGCTGGACTTGTTAAAGAAAATTAATTCTGCTGTATGTTTTTTTTATACCATTTTAAGTGAATGGGAATAACAATACAGGCGGCACGGTGGCTCAGTTGATAGAGCTGTTGCCTCTCTGTGTGGTCGCCAGATCGAATCCCGGTCCAGGGACCTTCTGGGTGGAGTCTGCATGTTCTCTCCGTGCTGCGTGGGTTTTCTCCAGGTGCTCCAGTTTCCTCCCACAGATCAGAAACATGCATGTTAGACTGATTGTAACTCTAAACTGTCCGAGGTGAGAGAGTGAATGGTTGTTTGTCTCGTTTGTGTCTATGTGTCCCTGTGATGGACTGGAGACCTGTCCAGGTGTCCCCTGCCCTCTCTCACAGTGGTGGTTGGATATGGACACCTGTGACCCCCCGCAACTCAAAAAGGAAGAAGCGGGTAAAGATGATGGGTGGAATAACAACGAAGCCCTAAACATCCTTAGATTAATCACAAATGTGAGAAAATGTTCAAACTCAACGTGTTTTTTTGTGTTGAAACTAAATGTGCCTTCAATAAATCATTTTTTATTAGCATAAATTAATGTGAGGTTCCTCTGGTGTCCTGTCTGGTGCCAAACTGTTTCAGCTGAACACAAAGATAAAAATGGTATTTTTTCCCATTTTAGAAAGAAGAGTCGTTCCATTATGTCAATATCAAAAGTAAGACGTGTCGGACACGTTCTAATGATCACTTTTTATTTAGGGATTAGAGGGACAGTCAGGAAAGCAAAGACTAAATCCAGTTTAATCTGGCTGTGTGTCACACTGACCTCACAGCAGGTCTGTGACGCACACCCACGCAGAACACAGCGTGCTTGGTCAACAGTAACTCCATCTGAACAGAACCTACACAGGATCATGGAGAGTACATTCAATATTTCACAATTGCACAGAACATCAAAGAAGAAGCATCAAAGTGTCACCAGAGTTCTATTTGAAGTACCAACACTGAAACTTGTGCCAGTCAAAATGCATGCATGTTGTTTCACTGCACACGCTGTGTGCTGCTTCAAACCTTGTACTGAAACGAGAGCAGTCGGAGCAAGCGGGTCAGTATCTGGTGAGCGCTGGTGCTGAACGTGTGGCTCCAACAGGTAAACGGACATTTATCAGGCGGCATGTGACCAGAGCGTCCAATTCTGTCCTGACCTTCAACAACAAGACAATGAGTTTCAGATTGCAGATGGACGGTCGTTGAAAAACGTGCAAAAAGCATCAACAGGCTGGAGGTTTGTCAGATTACTGGGAGGAGTTCTTCCAACGGCTTCGTGTTGGCTCAGCGGCTGCTCAAGCTGACCCTGGTGGACGACCAGGTACTGTAAAAACTGATGTGAAGAAACGAGCAGTAAACTCGTGTCTTTGACCTGGTTTTTGTCTGTGAACCCAAACTCAGTCGGCTTTCTGTCACTTCAGGCCATGCTTTCAAATATTCTGAGAAACGATGTGCAAGCAACAGATGCTCAGTCTGATACTTTAGTCTGAAGTGACAGTGGCCCATAATCCCGTCACATAATCCAGCCGAGACAGCTGCTTTTCTAACACGGAGTGTTCAACCACGTGAATGTGGATACGGAGGTTAAAGTGAGCAGCTGCTGGATTAATTGTGTGGCTTTGCCCCAGCTCTCAGTTTTATTTATATTAATAAGCTGTATGAAATCAAGACCCATGGTTGAAGGATTTCTGTCACATTTTAAGAGGATGTAATATTTCTTCTTTTAATTTCTTGTATGTGTTGGTACATGAGGCACAGCACACGCAAAGCTGCTCCAAAAGTGATGAGGAGAATAATCTGTAAACCTGGCTCCTCCTTACATATTCAACTTAGTCATTTAAAAGACAAATTAATTAAAAATGTTCATTGAAAGGTTACGGGTTGTAAAACAATACAAATTAAACGATGACTGGAACAAAAACAAACTACACTCATGACTTTATTGGGTCCATGTGTTGAATCATGACACAAAGAGCCAACAGGCCGGTCACAGCGCAGCGCAGTTAGGATGCGGAGGACTAAAGTTCAAAACAAGCATCACAACGAGCAACAGAGGGATCTCACATACATCCGTCCATTATCTTTACCCTTTTCAGGTCACGGGGTCATTGGTGCCCATGAGAGGCGGGGGACACCCTGAACAATCAACTGGACTCTTAGAGATAGCGTGATCTTATTCTAGTTTTAAACCACACAAATCTCTTTTGCAAGTTAGGCCTGAAGGCAACCTAACAAATGTTCTGGACTGTGGGAATAAACCCACACAAACACGAGGGGAAGATAAAACTCTGCACAATAACATGACCCAGAACCTTCTTCCTGAGGGAGCAGTGCTAACTAGAGCCCAACTGATATATCAGGAGGGCCGATCTAGATGTTTGGGACTTATCGTATCCGTGATAATTCTCCCATGATGCACCAATATAAGCTCTTCTAGTTGTCACCCCTAAGATCCTGTGAACCAGCTGTAATTGTACAATGTATCCAGCAGAGGGCGCCTGAAGAACACTTTCATGTCGTGGCAGTTCACTTTAAGTTTCAGATCAGAACTTTATTGATCCTGCAGGAAATTGATGAACTGTTGTTTAACTTTCACGTTCAGCACAGCTGAAGCAGGGAGCGATACTGTGTGGTGCATTTTACTGAACAGAGCCTGGTGAGTTTATTTAACTGAATGTGAAATAAACCAACAACAATCCTCTTCAATCCTCCAACCTGCTGCTCATTAGCTGCCTCTCAAGTTAGCAAGCTAACGTTTAGATAACCTAGCATAAGCTATTGCCTTGTAAACCTTTGTCCAGCACAATAAATCTAACATAGAGGTAAATATATAACAGTGTTAGTAACGTTATCTTTGTTGGCCTCAATGAAATGCATCGTTTGTCTGAAATCTTTACTTCTCTGCAAAGAAAAATAAACTCTTCTATGATCAACACTAATTATTCCTTCAGCACGTGACTGTTGAAACAACGAACGGGGAAGGTGTTGTTGTTTCATTTATATTTATCTGTTAGGAAAATATGGAACAATAATATCTGTAATATAAGATGGAGCTAGGTTGTTGAGGGCTTTGTAGGTTAGAAGTAAGATTTTGAATTCTATTCTGGATTTGACAGGGAGCCAATGGAGAGAAGCTAAAACTGGAGAGATATGATCTCTCCCAGTAACTCCAGTTAAGACTCTGGCAGCAGCATTATTGTGTTCCAATATCACCAATGTACAATAAGAACTGAATTTACTGTATTTGGATGTGAATCTATGTCTAAATTGGATTTATGTTTTGGACTAGTTTTATTTTGTACGGTGCCCTGAGATGACTCTGTTGTGAAATGAGGCTACATGAATAAACTGAATTGAAGTGCAGCATACAACTGGTTTCCACCTCCTCAGAAGACGAGCGAGCTCTTTGCTGCTTTAAAGTCATTCTCCGAATCCAACCTAAATAATCCCCCGTCTTCTCATGACGGCTGCGCTGATAAACAGAAGCCTCTTGGATCAGTCAGAGCCCATCAGATTAAATCCACTGAACTCATCCAACTTGAGGAACGCCTGCTGAGGAAGACGAGCACTGCCGACAGGAATGAGGACATAAATGTGGACGCATGAGAGGCAGGTTGTTACTCCGATATGAAGCAGGAGGATAGGAGTCTGGGGGACCTCCTACTGGGCCAAGTGTTCATGGAGCTCTGTCTCTAGTACTCCTGCAGGTTCTGATCATGGTTCTGGTTTTGGTCGTGGTTCTGGGAGGGGGGCAGTAAGCGTGTGACGTGGCCAATGCCCTTGGTGACGCCCTCTCTGAAGAGCAGCTTAGCACCTACTCGGAGGTACTCGGGGTGTTTGATGAAGCGGAAGCGAACGACCGCCCTCTCCCCTGTTCGCAGTTCTTCCTGAAAGCAGCAGAGACCATGTTACGCTCTGATTACATCCAAGATTTAACTGGACCTCATTAACAGACCAACCTTTCCGTGAAGGCACTCCACGGTTGCCGTCTGCCTGACGTTACCGACGTGGACAGTGACTTGTGACCCTCGCCGAAACGTCTTGGCATGAAAGAGCAGAACAATGGCAGCTTCAAACTGACAGCAGATGGTTGGGTTCATCTTGGGACTGACCATCACCATTCCCTGAAATGACCAACAAGACCACGTTACAGAAGAATTGGGATGTTGTCAACAACAAATTTCAACCAACTAAACTTGTTGAACTGAGAAATCCAATTCAGCTGGACAGTTGTAAAGTGAATGTGCAAAGAGCCTCAAATAAATACGTGGGTGGAAACAGTGCCCATGTTGGGTGTCAAACAGCAGGAAGCTCTGTCTCTTTAAACAGACATGTAGAAACCCTCAGACTGTTAAAGTACAAGGTACTGCAGTAAGGACGGCACAATAACTACTCTGAAAAAATGTCTTGTCTTGATTATTTTACTAATGCACCTAACCCCACTGCCTCCTCTTATCGCTGTCTTGATCCTCTGCTCTGCAGGAGCCAAACTTTGGTCAGTGTTTTAATAACTGCAGTTCTCTTGGTGCAGCTCCAGATCTGGTTATTCCTCAATATAATCTTCGGTCACTTCATGAAGCGAGCTTTCTGCCACAGGTCTCTTTTCCTCCTCACGTTGGTCTTGCTTCAAACACTCACTGGCAGCCATACCAACATAGATGATGTAATCTGCTACAATATACAGTGCTTTGAAAAAGTACTCACCCCCTCATCTGCTTTATGCTTTTATTGTAGTCATAAATAAATTAAGGTAAATATATATTGGCCTTGTCAAAGTGAAATCGTATTTCCACAAAGTAAAACCACCCGGCTTCTTCCTTTTCGGGTCACTGGTATCACTGGTGCCCATATCCAGCAGTCACTGTGTGAGAGGCGGGGACACCTGGACAGGTCTCCAGTCCATCACAGGGACACCTGGACAGGTCTCCAGTCCATCACAGGGACACCTGGACTGGTCTCCAGTCCATCACAGAGTTACCATCAGTCCAACATGCATGTTGTTGGTCTGTGGGAGGAAACTGGAGAAAACCCACACATGCACGGAGAGAACATGCAAACTCCACTCAGAAAGGCCCCTGGACCAGGATTTGAACCAGCGACCTTTTTGTTTAGAGACAACAGCTCTACCAGCTGAGACACCGTGCCACCCTAAAGAAAAACCAATTAAATAAAAATATGTAATGTAAAAAATATATATATATATTTTAAAGCACACAAATGTTCAGCCCCTTTAAAGTTACAGTTGTAATAAGAGAAAAGAATATTGAAAAGTACAAGTCAGGGGATGGATACAACATTATTTTTTAAGGCCCAAACATCTCCAGAAGTTGTTACATCCATCATGAAGAAACAGAAGGAATATGGAAATGTGTAAATGTACCAAGAGCAGGCTGTCCTCACTAACCAAGTGACCGTGGAAGAAGGAGAGAAGTGAGACACCGGTGGTCGCTCTGAAGGAGAAGCAAACCCCAACAGGGGAGCTGGGACAGAGCGCAACATACAACTGTCCAAGTCTTTTTTACCAGACTAAACTTGATGGGAGACTGGCAAAGAGAAGACACTGTGGAAGAAAAGTTTTATACTTTAGCTTTTACTCCTTTTAGCTTTTAGTTGGTGCTTTGATACTTTTTGTTTGTAGCTAGTGATTCCTCTAATTATTATCATGGTAAGGCCTGGGCATCCAGGGCTGCAGTCCTGAGTCTCAGAAGAACTTTATATTCACATCATTAATTAAGCTCCTAATGTAAGGCAGAGTCTCTTCAACTGTACGTCTGCACAAAAAGGGTGCTTGTCAAATTTTAACCAACAAAATCTCACTTCCTCCTACTTAGTCTCTATTTTGTACCAAAGTCCAAACCAGTAACCGTTTCACACTTATCGTATGCATACACAGGATAATTGTAAACTCCAGCTCCTTGTAGCCCTGCAGATATGTACTTTATTACAGTAAAAGCAGCTGTGCTTTATTTTAAATCATCTATGTTGGGGTGTGAGTAATGTCTGCCAGGCACAAAGTGCTTTGAGTTCAGGTGTACTGAAACGAATGCTGCTGGTATTAAATGTAGAGGAAGCTCAACGAACCCTGCACCTCATGTGTGAAAGAATATTAGAAGTAAATCAGTTTCTTAAATGTGTTTAGAGTCAAACCATTTTTTTATAATTCCCGAATGACTGAATAATTCAGTTTCAAAGATATTTGCCTAATTAAACTCCTCGGGCTCATATCAGTCATATTTGAGCACAGAGTTCTTCACTTTAAGTGAGAATTGGCTGAACAGGAGGCAGAGAGACCAAAAACTGTGTCATGGACCTAAAGCCACCGTCTTAACACCAACTTGACAAATTTGAACCGATCCTATAAGTCGCTGAGAAGCAGCTCCACCAGTTTTGATTCGCCTCCTAAATGCTTGAATGACTTTAGGTGACCTCTGACCTTGCGCAGCAGTGAGCGGTCAAAGTTTCCCAGAGCCAGCGTGGCTGCCTGTCCGGCCCGCAGGACCCTGCAGGCCGAGCGGTTCCTCTGGATGCTGCCCACTTTCAGCCGCATGAAGCGGCCCTCGTCTGTCGGACCCACCACCAGCCGCTCACCCTCCCTGCACACACCACTTACACACACACGTGGAAAATGATTTTCATTTGGCTGCAGGGTTCAGGTCTGTGGCAGTTCTTCAACTTCAAAATGATCAAGATTTAAAACCAAGACTCTGGCTTCTGGATCGGTTTGACAGTTTAGTCTGAAAACTGAGGCCTCGTGGGTTATTTAGACCCAAAGGCAGCAGGAGGGTACAGAACTGTTGATTTGTGTGTCAGGATCACCAGAACATTTTCGACGACCTAACAATTGAAAGAACTGATCATTTTTATACAAAGTTTCTCACCTGTACAGAGTTCCTCCAACAACAGTCCCCACATCAGGAACTGAGTAGATCTCATCCACCTGCAGACACACACGAGCAGGTTCAAGCAGCTGCGTCCAACTTTGACTTTCCTCTCTGCAGTGCAGGAAATATCTTTTCTGTGTCATGTGATTTGTGTAGCAACAACGGAAGTTTACGAAGAGGTAAAAAATTCAACCAATCACAGGCGAACGTTCACTCCAGCCAATCGGCGTCTTCTGGAGTTTCTGCGCTGACGTTAGAAGAAGCTAGGTAGCTACAAGCAACTGTGGGAGCCTAAACTAAAATTTGTAAAGATTATATAACAGAAGCTATTTGTTTTGTGTGTGGATCTTTGTTGGTTTGAGGTTGGGAACATGTTTATTTAAGCCATGTGATGTGGGCGGGGCATGTCAGGAGAGAAAGTCCAGACAGACTAGTTGGGGAGTGAAGCCAAACAGTTTTTGACCTGTTTAATTACCAACTCGTGGATAAGTTGTTTTTGCTTACTTTTTGCTGTACGTGTTTCATTTTTAAGTAAAACTTTAAACACAAGCCACTGAGAATAATTATTTTTTCTGGACAAGAATTATGCCGGAGGCCTTGGGAGCGTCGGGCTCAGGTTTCACTCAACAAGGATTTACACTTTTTGTCAAAAAACTTGCTTCACTTGGATACTGGACTTTAAACAGATGGACTGGATAAGTTTTGGATGCAAGAACAATGCTGGGAAGGATGGAGAACAGACAAGTGACAAGCTTCGGTTGATGGAGAGCTGCTAACAAAGATCACAGCATGACGGGTGTTTCAGCTAACTGCTAACTTGTGAGGACGGGCAGGTGCAGGGATCGGCTGCCTCATACCTGTTTCCAGCCTTTGCAAGATAACGTGTGCACAGCTCGCTGATTATGGATGAACAGAATATTGGAAAGCAGACAATAAAAATGACTGAAAAGGCTGTGGAAGAGCACAAAACTAAACAAATCCATGCTTGCAGATACAAACTATCCCAGCTAGCTACAATGAAACAAAAAACTGAGCAGTTAATGGACGACGATGGAAGCGCAGACATGGTAAAAAACTACCTCCGTGTTGATTTCAGTAAACTGCAACAGGAGTTTTCTGACCTAAACATGGGTTTAAAGCAGTACATGACTGAGGAGGAGTTTGTGGAGGATCAAAAGGACTGGTTTGATCCTACAATGGAGACAATCAATAGATTTTTCTGGAAATGTGAGGACTGGATGAAAGAGGTTTTAAAATGTTCTGAACTGGCTGAAAGGTGTGATCAACAGGTAGCACCTGAAGACAGTAAGTGATCAACAGGTAGC